TTTGATCCCACTTAACTGAGTTGTTGGATTCACTGGTGTTCCCTATTCTTTCTGTAATAAATGTCTGCGTCCTTGACATGCTGCAGCCTAGGGACTGGTCAGCCACTCCTAGAAGTTCACCTGTGCTTCCTCTTTCCAGTTAAGTTGTTCCAAACCTGCTTAAGTTTAGTGCTCATTAATGCAAATTCTCAACCTAAACACGATATCAACGGATGAATAAGAATATGGATGAATATAAAATACGAATACGAATGTGGAACATAAAAATTTCTAGAAAACTAGTTGAATTACTTTGTAAAGATTCAGGAAGGATAAATCATTATAAGAACTTGCTGTGATTAAGTGTGAGCAAGACAACTGTTAAGGAGGAGAAACAGAAAACTTGAATCCTTCACAAGTTTCTCTGCAACTGCCTTCCACTATGAGGAAACTCAAAATGGAAATTATAGGCAATGCAATCTGGTAGTGATTTATGCAAGAACAGCCACTAACCTCCAATTAGCATACCTAGATATAAGGAAAGGGCTTTGGCTCCACATCAAAAGACTGGCAAGTGAATGTATACTTATGTGTATTAAATTAATATGCACGCATTTTAATTTTTTTTTAATAACTCCTCATTCTGACATTTTTGATTTACACATTTTGTCAGGTAAGAGATAATTTTGTCAAGGCAGAGTTTTGAAACAGAGAAAATCATTGTTTTTCACACATGCATGGAACCATTAGAAAAATTGGAAAAGAAACCTTTAGGCGAACACCTGGCAGGTGTCCCACAGGGCAGGATGGAACTCACAGGCAGAAGGGCCAGCCAAGGAGGATGGGTGTGTCTTCCAAGTTCTCCTCCGCAGCCTTGGGACAGGTGTGCCTGGGCCGTGGGTCAGCCCTGTTAGCTCACTGCAAGGAAACCTAAAAAAAAGCCTGTGATCATCCAGCTAGTGATCGGGTTTTATCTCTACAAGTTTGTTCTATTTGTTTTTTATTTTATCACATTGGCCATGTTCTCTCTCCACAGGCTACAAAAAGTCACAATAGAAGGAAAAAAATCAATTAGAAATTTAAAAAAGAACTAAATAACTCAAGTTAGAAAGAAAAATCAAACATGAAAATACAGACCATTTAACATGAAGAATGGTGAGTACACTACGGGTCAAAACCCAGGACTTAATTTCCACCTCCAGTCAAGATGGGGTAACAAGGATTGGATTTACCCTCCTGCCTGAACAACCAATACAAAGAAAAAAACACAAAACAGTGGATGTCAGGTGGAAAGGACAGTAATCCTCAGGAGCAGGAGACAGATGAGGTGAGCCTTAAGATTGCCTCAGCTTGCTGCCTTGAGGCAATTTCCAAGCAGCAGTGTGGTTGGGGGCGGGGTAGGCAAAGCCTGGCAAACTCCAGGAGAGTCTCAGGGAACCGAGGCAGCTACAACGTCTAGTACACAGGACCGCACGTGGTTAAGGTGCCCAGGAGAAAACTCTGACATCTGCCGGTTTCCTCCAGTATTCGTGAGAGTAGAGATCAGCATACAGGTTTGAAGAAACTATCTAAGGCTGGGAAAAGAATTGTCCCAGAGAATTAGAGGGACTACTACTCAGCACTCACAGAGGACCAGGAAGAGTATCTGTTCCCACTAGATAGACTGAAACATTTCCTAATTCACGAGCATGTGTTACAGTGTTTGCATCTGTTACAGTGTTCGAGAGTTTGGCTTTGGTAATGGGGGAGTTAATCCTAAATAGTTGTGAAATCCTAACAAATCTTAAATCATGTCCTGGCTACAATGGTTTACAAATAACTTACGTGTGTTCTGGAAGAAAGCTCAAGAATATTTACAGAAATACAAACTATCAAGTATCCAATGAGGTAAAATCCCTATTGCCCAGCAACCAGTCAAAATTGCAGGGTGTGCAAAAGCAGCAGGAAAACACATCCAATAACGGGAGTGAACAGAAACCAAAGGAGAACTGACAAAAATATTAGAATTAGCAGGCAAGGACATTAAAAATTACTGTAACTTTATTCCAATTGTTGAAAAAATTAAGTAAAGATAGTGAAGATACAAAAAAAAAAAGATCCAAAAGTCATGTGTTAATTTACTCACTGGGGGGACTCTTTCACAATGTGTATCAAATCGTGCTCTATACTTTAAATAGACTACAATGTTGTCAATTGTACCTCATGAAGCTTGAAGACAAAAAAAAAAAACAGAGTAACAATCAGAAGAAAAGCGACGGCAATCAAACTTCTAGAGAGAAAACTACAACATCTAAGATGAAGATTATACTGGAATTCATTGCTAACTAGCCACTGCAGGGGGGAAAAAAAGGAAAAAGTAGTCTTGAGGACCTAGTAATACAACTATCTAAATGAACACACAGAGAAAACAAAATTTAAAAAATACAACACATCAGTGAGCTATGGGATAACATTAAGTAGTCTCGTATTAAGCGTAGTTGAAATTTCCAAAGAGGAAAGTGAGGACAAATTTTTTTTTTCAAACAATGGCCAAAACTTTCCAATTTTGATTGAAATTATAAACCCGCAGACCCATGAATCTCAAAAAACTCCAAGCAAAAGGAACATGAAGAAAACTGTATTAAGGCACATTATAATCCAATTGCTCAAAACCAGCTAGACAAAAATGACACATTATGTACTAGCCAGCAGTATTCTTACAGGAAAAAATTCAAGCAGGGGGACAGTGGAGCCACATTTTTAAAATATCAAAAGGGGGGGAAAACTGTCAAGTTAGAATTCTATACCCAGCAAAAAGATATTTCAAACACAAAGATGAAATATACTTTTTCAGACACAAAAGCTACAAGAATTCATCACCAGCAAGGCTGCACTACAAGACATATCCCAAAAACTTCCAAGTAGATACCAGATGGATGTACACGGAGGACCAAAGAGCTCCAGAAATGGTTAACTGTCAGAATCGTATATACTTTTTACTTCGATCTCTTTAAAAGGGAAGGTTTCAAAAACAGAAACAATGTGGCATGCTGCTTTTACATAAATAAATGCACAATGTATAACAGCACAGCGAGTCTAATGAAGATGGGGGAGGGAAAGTAAAATATGTCAGGAACTAAAACAACTATAACCGCAGATAGAATTTAACAAAAATTGTAAGAAATACCATGTACAACTGTCAATTCGGAAAGACAGAGAAAATGGGTTTTTTTTTTAGAAAGGTATAAATTATTCAGATTGATTCCTGAGAAAGTAGGAAATACGGATAGACTGATAACCAAAACAAAAAATGGGAGAAAAAACCAGTTACTTCTAAGAAATGAGTTTTACAAAGGAGTTTAACAAGTCTTAAAGAAACAGGTTAATTCCTATATTTTTCAATTTTCTTTCCAGGGCATAGAACAAGATAAGCTTGCCAATTCATTCTATAAAGCTAGCAGAACCATAATTCCAAAACCAAACCAACATAATAAAACAATTTTTAAAAGAAAACCTCATGAATACAGATCAAAACCTTAACACTTTTGGAAAGCAAATAGAATTCTAGAGTGTATTAAAGGCACAATATATTGTAATACAGAGTTTTTATAACAGGATGCAATGATGGTTCATGGTTAGGAAACCTATTTAAAAAAAAAAAACTACTACTATGATTAAGCCTCCTTTTTTAATTCAATTATCTGACAAACATTCTTTCATTCATTCATCAAAAATTTACCAAGTAATTTAATGCCAGGTACTGGATACTGAGAATTCACTGGTAAGATATGGTTTCTGCCTTCATGGAACTTTCTAGAGAGATACAAATAAAAATAAAATTATAACACAGTATAAGGCTACGAAAAGCGAAATACAGGGTACTATTGGAATACATACACTGCTACAGTAGGGTGCTGATAGAATAATCCTGGAAGAGGATGATTGCCCCTTCTAGCATGATAGGCAGTAGGTGTGAGGGATATGGGCCTACACAACAGAGCTGGAAAGTGGTACCAAAAATATTGACTGATTTGATAGAGAAGGGTGGGGTCAGATTCTTTAGAGGTCTTAGTATATTAATATGTGTTATGGACAAAAGGGTAAAATAAGGGTCAAAAATTTTGGAATACTAAGTATAAACTTTCTTTACTGCAGGACTTGTCAGAAGCTTTATGGTGTTGCCACTCTCTAAGAGAAGGTTACACCATGTCAGTACAGAACATTTACCCAACACTTCATTACAGAACAGAGTGGTATTTCGTGCCACACCCTTGGGGAGAAATCGTGCTCCCACAAAAACACCTCTTCCTTTCTACTGTAGCTCTCAAGCCTGGGTGAACGAGCTCCCCAACTATGTCCAATTTGTTGGGACCATCTCGTTCTGTCCCTTTACCCAGTACATTTATGTACAGTATGGTTACTTTCAACTGGGTGGGATTGACGTGAAAGAGATCCACTGGAACCTCCTAAGGGGTGTGCCCCGTCATTACAATCATTAAAAAAGATTACCCTGAACCAGGATTACCTATGAATCAATATGAAAGGATCGGACCCAGAGATACCTTGCAATAAAGCAGTACTAATCTTTGTTAATCTCTATAAGCTACCAAATATTCACATAGGTAAGATACTGGAGAACAAGCTCACTGCAAACAAATCCTTCTACTATTAAACTGTGTAAGCAAACAAACTTTTAATCATGCGGAGTCAACAGTTCCACTTACCGAAAAACGGCATGCATTTACACACAGGGAAGACCTGAGAGTACGTGAACTCCCAGAGACTAAGGAGGGTGACCAGTTCGTAACTGGTAAGAACTATAATCCAGATCACTGAAAATCTGATTCTAAAATATTAATTTCAATATGTACAAAAGGAATATTTCAGGATGCTCTAAGAACCAACATTCTTAACACGAGGCCATCACTGAATAAAAGTATGTTGCTAACTTTGTATACATGGTCTCCAAAGTTAGTAATGTCAAAAAAATAAGACACACTCTTTTTTAGGTTTTCAATATATTAAAAAAGAACACAGTATAAACGCTGTGGTTACTAATATTAAAAAGGATCAAAATTTTTCAAGGATGATTTTTTATAAACCAGTTCTACAATAAATGGGAAACAGCATCTTGATACACAATTTTGTTAAACAAGATTTAAAAATTTTTAAATCAGAAAAAGTTTAAATTGTTTCAAACGTTCAAACAAAAAAGCAATCTGTACAATCTCCACAATAAAACATACCCATGTACACATGTCCTGGGCACTCTGAAAATGTTAAAGTTTTTAAAGTTTTGAGTAACAGAGGCAGCACTTAAACGGTTCATGAACCTTCTTTTTGCAAAAAGAATACTTTCAGTAAAACATTTTACCATTTTACCTCTGCTTTTACATTTTTGTTATTCCTGAAAAGGGGATTTATATTAACACTGTATTTTTTTAACGTAAAAAAATACATTTAGAGATATTTAACTTCCTGAGTTAACTTCAGTTATACATCAAACATGATTTAATGAGTAAATTTAAAAATTTTTAGAATAAGACAGCATGTACAGATTTACAATTTTATCTTCAATTAGAGTAAAACTCAAATGAGCATGTCACAGAACTTACACTAAAAATTCTCTAAGAAGTCAAATATGATTTATCCCCTTAAAACCCCAATAAGTTTTAAGTAAAATGAGTCACTGAAATTACTTTCTTTTATCAACAAAATACTGACAGTCATTTCAGACTATTAAAACTTGAATGTTTTCTATTATATACACCAAAATCTGATTCACTGACAACAAACTTCTTGCAATACAAAAAGATAACAGATAATTAAAATATCTGCTTTATAATACAACCAATCCATATAACACATCCCTTCGTTAATTGTCTAAAATGATTAGGAACTGTGGCACTTTCTTTTGCATAAAACCCTTTCCTCTTCATAAAACCCTGAGGTGAAAGGTTATTAATGTAATAAAACTGGAACCACAATTCTTATTTCTGTATTAGACTGCAGCTATAGGTTTTAAAAATTTTATAAAGAAATGTGGCAACTTGTAAAGCTGCTCTGTAAAGTTAACAAAACACCTCCAGATCAATTCAGCCAAAGGGACCTAGAATGACCCTATAAAAACATCGTCCTTTAATACTTGTTAGTGTCGAGACAAACGCCATTTTCCATCTCTACTACTGTCTCTTCTGTTTTCATAATCGTGGCTCCAGCCGTCAGGGTTCCGATCTTCATGGAAGTAGTCGTCCCTGCCTCCCCTGTAATGATGGTCAGACCCGTGATCAGTGTAGCGTTGTTCACGGCTATAATGTCTGTCCAGGATGTAGGGATGAGAATTCTGTCTGACTTTACGTTGTGAGGATGGCGTCTCCTGGCGCCACTGGGAGCTTGAAGACTGGTTAAAAGTAGGATTATGTGACTGAACTGATGGGGAAAATCCTGACTGATCCAGATGTGGAGAACCAAATTTCCCACCATACGACATCTGTCTCAAAATACTGTTCATCTAAAAGAAAAAGAAGGAAATGTTAACTACAAATATTTTTAGTAGATCCACCTGCCCAGGTAGATCTTAGGTTAAACAAGTCAAAGTTTGTTCATGCCAATGGACAACTACAAGATATTTGTACATAACTACTATTTTTTTTTAAACGTTTATTTCTGAAAGAGGGAGAGGGAGACAGTGGATCCAAAGCAGACTCTGTGCTGACAGGAGAGAGTTCAATGAGGGGCTTAAACTCATGAAATGAGAGATCATGACCTGAGCTGAAGTCGCAGACTTAACCAACGAAGCCACCCAGGCACCCGCTCCCCCCACCTCTACGACTACCCCTACTACTCCCTGCCCTCAAGAACAAAACGGAGAAGGGAAGAGGTCATACAAATGATGATAATGTAAATCACTGTCTGATGAACACATAAAGAGTCAAGAGCTCAGTATCATTAGGAAAGGCTTCACGAAGGTGGCACAGGACCTGAGTATTAAAAACATGGATAGAATATTTTAAGGGGGAAGTATATCAAGGAAAGGAAATTGCACAAAGATAACAAGGAAACAGAATGTGTTCGCAGAAGAGCAAGTAACTCTGAGAGAGGTTACAGACCTCATAAGCACTGATTAATGGACACTTAGGCTAAAAAGCTTTATTGGCATCAGATGATTGGAGTACCTAATAACTAAGCTAGAGACTTCTGACTTTATGTTACAAGATGGAAAGTCAAATTACCAGGAAGATAAGCAAAACAGAGTTACAATAATTTTCAAACAAGTGTGTAAGATGGACCAGTGAGGAGAAAATGGAGACAAGTACGAACTGACTAGACCAGTGGTCCCCGAAATTCTGCCTGCAGATAGCTTATAAGCCAGTGATCATTTTTTTTAAACAGCCTACAGCAAAATGAGAAAAATACGTGGTATGTACATAAAAGTGGACATCTCTTTATACTGAGCTCAATTTTACCTTATTTCGTTCTTCTATTTTTATTTTGCAGGCCTGCAAAAGGTCAAGGGGTCATAAGCCACGCTTGTGATTGGGCAGTGAAAAAAAGAAGAAATGAATTCAAGAAAAAGAAACAAATAAAGGACGTGACGACAAAATGAAAAAATGAAGGACTGGACACGAAGATGGAACAGTAAAACATATCAAGGATTTTAAGCCTAGTCTCACAGCTTCATATTACAGAAAAAATGGAAAGCAAGAGGAAGATGGTCTGAAGACTCCAATATATTCAATTACTGTTACAAGCATCAAAGAGAGCATATGCTAATAAGTCCTTCAGCCTAGGTTACAAGCACATCAGAGAATAAATTTCCTGTCTTTTAAACACACCACCCCCACAACAATGCATGAAGAAAAATACAAATGTGAAACACAGCCCTTCTATTTGTCTTCAATCTTTTAAATATGTACTTCAGCCCAGTGAAAACTAAAATGAGTAATCAATCTACAAAGATCATGCTAGTCTAACGAAAACTTAGGACGTTACTTAAGAATTATTTGAACATTTCAATCTAAGTGTTTTGCTGTGCTTTTTTGTTGTTTTTTGGTTGTTTTTTTTTTTTTTTTTTTTTTTTTTTTTTTTACCAAGTCAAGTTGATAAATCAACCTACCACTGCTTGTCTCTGAAAATTTTCTGGAGAAGAGAAAGACCTCTGAATTATCTGCGCTGATGGAATGATGTTATCCACAGTCCTTTCATGCCTGTGAAAGAAAAACAACATATAATCATTCGTTTAACAAATATTTACTACATACTAATCATGAGCAAGACACAGGTCCCAAAGGTAGGAATGAACAAGAAAAACAAGGTATCTGCTCTCACAGATAAAGGGAAGGACTCAGAGAGTAAGACAATTTACCCTCTTCCAAGTGTTATTATGAATAGTCGACTAAAAAGCAAGTGAGGTGAGAGACAGGAGTTCTATTTTAGCTCGCTGGTCAGGGATGGCCTTTCTAAAAAGGAGACATTTGAAGTGAAAACTGAGTAACAAGATCACCTGGAGGCAAAACATTCCAGCTGCAGGAAGAACGAGCACAGGGGTGAGAAGCTATATGGCCTATGGGCCAATCCGGTTTTTGTAACACTCTTGTGTCTGTATTTTCTATGTATTGTTACGATGGCCTGCAACGACTGAAACATGTATGTGGCCTTTATAGAAAAAAAAAAAAAAAAAAAAAAAAAAAAAAAAAAAAGTCAATCCCGGGACTAGCACAAAGGCTTAGGCTGAAAACTGAAACGAAAAGGATTTGGTTAGTTAGATATGACAGATGAAGGAAAAAGAAAAATTAAGGATAAAAACGCAGATTTCTGGCTTGAGCAATTACACACACATTTACTGAGACAGGGAAGAGGAACAGATCTGGGAGAACAAGGAATTAAGAGTTCTGTAACATAAATAGGATATTAATTTCAAGGACTTATATCTTATTCCCCACCTCCTAAAAAGGAAGCTTACTCTACAGAAAAACTCACTTAGAAAGTATTTTAAATTTATTTTAAAATATTTAGAATCATATCACTAATTGATTTGCCTCATAGTTTAGATATTTTCATTGTGTTTTTTTGTTTGTTTGTTTTTTTTTTGAGGGAGAGAGAGTCAGAAACATCAAGCATGGGCACGTGTGTGAGCAGGGAGGGACGGAGGGAGAGAGATCATCTCAAGCAGGTTCTATGCTCAGTGTGAAGCCTGACACAGGGCTCGATCCCATGACCCTGGGATTAGAACCTGAGGCAAAAGAGTCAGACGCTCAACTGACTGACTGAGCCACCCAGCCACTCCCCATTTTGGGTTTTCTTAAATTAGTTGTATATCCATATGCTAAAGGGGTAAAAAGTATAATTTTCCTTATAAGAAGAGTATAAAAACGATGTATGTTCTAGCCTTAAATTAAAAACAAGTCATTTACTTGCATTTTTTTTCCCAAAGAGAATTCTGAGGGAGCTAAAAACTCATTTTTCCTCCACCTGAGATACCTTTGAAGCTTCTACAAAAGTGGTTTGAGATGCTTCAAGTTCCGGATGTGCTGAGAAGTATTTAAACACAATTTCAGTTCGCAAGAAAGGATGTGAAGATGGCACCCTTTGTACACTATTCTTTCTCGCAACTTTGCTATCTAGTCATCTTGTCATATCGAAGCCACTTTGCCCCAGCTCTTGGCACCGCCCTAATCCAAACCATCAACATCATCCCAGGAACTTCCTTGCTATCTTACAACTAATGCCAATACTTTGCTACCAACAGTTTCCTCATTGGTCTATTTTCAGCCTCGTCCCCCCTAATCTGTTCTCCCACAGCAACCAAACAAATTGTTAAAATACAAACCTGTTCCCGTTATTGTCCTACTGAAAACATTTTGGTATCTTTTGACGGTTTTTAGGATAACGTTCCCAATTTCTAACTATGGCCTAGAAGAAAGACCCTATATCGTCTCACCTCTTCTACTGCACCAACACCATCTGTTACTGTCCATTTCTCATTCATTGTGACCTAGGTACGTTGGCCCCTTTTAGTTCCTCATTCGTTTATATCATCTCTCCTTGCTGGATCTTTTCTCCAAGCATGTTCTACTCTTTCTCTAGAGGACTTATCAAACAGGTAGTCACAAAACATACACCTGTCTTCATGAAGACTTGTAAGCTCCATTAGGCAGCCTATCCTAGAGGCTTCGTCACAATGCCTGGGTTTCAATCCCAGTCCACTATTACGAACAGTTCACACTTGAGCAAGTTAACCTCCAATCCTCATTTTCTTCACATATAAGGTAGAACTAACAATAACCCCTACCTCATAAGACTGCTGTGAGAAACGAGAGCATAAATGCAAAGGAGCTGAAGACCTGACACACATTTGCTAACTCTTCCTTAAATGAAGCCCATTATGATTGAGAGAATAACTCTGTGGATAATCCAGGAAAAAACTGTCCCTGGTGAAATATCGGCTTTCCTAGCGCAAATAAAATTATTTATGTAAATACGGGATCTTTCCTAACCCTTAGTAACTAGAAGAGGTTCTAGACATCAGTCAACTCAGCTTTTCCTGACAAATGGAAGGACAGGATCAGAGAAATGACACTATCTCAAGATTATGCAATTGGTGGAGGCACACCTACAATCCAATTCTACAAACTCTTAGTCCACTAGTCTGTTTCCAGACAGTCATTTTTAACCTGCAATTAACAACCAACTGGTGGTCAAAACTAATTTAAATTTTTTAAAGGAAATAGATTAGAAAATAGAGTATAGTGAAAATAATAAGGGCTAAATAATGTTCTGAGAAGTTTTCTTTCAGTTATGTACAAAAATATGTGTGAGTATGTCTTTCCAAATGAACATATAGTTAACATATGCATCTGTTTTAGGGGTACTATACATACATGTCTGTCTATAATCCCCTTGAAACCTAATTATACCTAATTATAAGTCAATATACAAATAACATAGCAGAAGAATGAAGAAGAAGGAGCTTAAAGAAGGAAACAAATCATTCATTGTGCGTTTTGGGATCACTACCTAGGAAAATTTCTGACAAATGATTTTAACAATAGGTGTAAGATATTACCTGCTAGGAGATGTAGAGGTAGGGCTTGAGTTTCCAATATGATGCTGGGGATATGACACACTGACATCCTGTGAGGCATGGCTACTTCCTAAAATAAAAAAAATTGAGAAATTATTGATAGAAAACTTAAGTTGAAATTATGTCTCCCCTACCCCAAATCATGTAGACAGAGGCTACAAAAGAAAACCTCAAATTACACTAAGACTGCTTTACAATTTCATCAGAGTAAAACGTATGTGTTCAATACCAGATACTTCCAAAACAAAGGGTTCCAAACAAGGTATTATCCAATGTATAAATATCCAATCCGGCCATAATATTCTGATCCCCACACTAAATTTTGAGACTGGATACACAGAAAATTTCACCCTCGTCAGGATCCAGAATCAAAATTTGTTAAGTGTGAATTACAAAGCAGCTAGGAAAAGCGTTTTCAGAAAATAATCCTTGCTCCTTTCAGAGCAAGGACCCAAACCCAAGTCATTCTAACAACAAAGTTTACATTCTCTTCACTAACCCCAACTCAATTTTAAAATGACAACTTTGAAAACCCATGTTGTCAATGTTACCTATTTCCAGGGATATATAGTTTACTATCCACAAAGTTTGAAGTATTTTCATCTAAAAAGAGGTTCTTTAAAATTGAACAAAATTAAAAACAAAGAACTGAGAAACAAACAAACAAAAAGACCCTCTCCCCAAACAATAACACTGAATAGTTACCTGATCTAAACTGAATTTTGATGGGCCTCCCAAACAGTTTGATTCCATTAAGCAGATTCATCGCATAAGGAACGGACACTTCATGTTTGAAATTCACAAATGCAAACTGCTTTGGTTTACCATCCTTATCTTTCGGAATTTTCACTTTTATCACTGGCCCAGCCTATAGACGAAAAGAAAAATCTCGAATTTTGCAAAGATGAAAAACAACAAAAATGTAATCAGAAAGTCTAAAAAATGGACACACAAGAATTTCCACCTCGGTTAAAGATTCTATAGCTACGACCAAACACTTGATTAATTTATGTGGGGGAAGGAAGACCGTAAGGAACTGGAAGCAGTCACTCAATTTACATTTCAGAGTACTTTATGACTTTTTAACAGGGCGACCAACATCCATCATTTTCTCACTCCAGGTAACGGTTTATCAAGACTAGTCCGGTTTTCTCGGACTAAAAATTCGCTTTTTTACCGATTAACCAATCGTTACCAGCTGTTAAGAGAACAGAACTGGAGAGAAAAGGATACTCTGAATTTTTAACACATTTTAATGCAAATTTTAACACAGAAACACTACAAGTCTGTTTTTCTACAGCGTATTTAGGAGTCTGTTTTAAATATTCTAATGCTGCAATTAAAAAAAAAAAAACTTACGTGGAAAACAGATAATGACCACACAATTAAAATATACTCTACCAATGAGTCACTTCAGCGTGAACTCACCAGGGCTCTTTCCATAAAGCGACCCCCCGCGAGCGCGTCACTTTCCCAGAGTGACCTCCGGCCCCAAGCGGCCCAGCCTTCGGGCGCCGGGACCCACAACCCAGCTTTCGAAAAGAAGGCGGGCCTGGCCGTTGGGCCGAGCCATAAGAGAGCCGGATAAACGAAAGGAAGAGCCGGCTCTCGGCCGCTTACCTGGTGGAAAAGCTCGAAAAGGAGCTCCTCGGTCACTTTCGTTTCAAGGTTGCCCACAAAGAGCGTGCGATCTGCTTCCGCTGCCGCCGCCCCCATCGCAATGCCGCCCCCTCCCTAAAAAGGCCGAAGGGTCGCCGCCGCCGCACTCACTGCGCACTCTCGGAAACCCCACGCCCTCGTCGACCCGGGCGTCACGGACGTAGACGTCATTCACGCTCGCTCTCGGCAGGCGTCGACGTGCGCGGGCGGGCTGCGCATGCTCGAGAGCAGAGCGCCGGTTGAAGGCAGCTCCTCGATCGGACGCGGCTGGAGTTAATGGCTTTCCCTGTAGGCGGGGGTCGCGTTCGAGACCCGCTGGACTGATCTGCGTAGCCGCCAAGAGCCTACCTTGACCGAGGGACGTAACAAACACTGCGGGCAGTGTTTGAAGATGGCCCTGAACTACGTGTCCCTGTCCGCCGGCGATCAAAGGAGCAGGATGGCCTACCGCGCTTCCCACGGCGATCTCAACCCGTCTGCCTTAGCCCTGGCGATGGTCTCTGGAGACAGCTTCCTCGTTGCCAGGCGTGAGGCGGTTCTTCCAGGACCCGCTCCTCGTCAGGCCGTCCGGCAGAGCGTTCGGGCCGACAGCCGTCGGGCGACTGGGGTCGGCCGCAGCCCGCCACGCTTTAGATTGGGAAGGGAAGCTGATGGGCGGAACCGCTCCCGTCAGGCCAGATTCGCACCTTACCCGACCCCCGCGGTCAAACTGGATCTCTTAAGGAGTGTGCTGCAGCAGCGTCTGATTGCAGTTGGGAGTGTTGTCTCAGCCCGTCTTTCGGCTTAATATGCAAACCTCCCGTCAGCCCTCGATCCGCTTGTAAACAAGGCCTCTCTCAAATCCTCTCGTGGTGCCATGGCAGTCTTATTTTTAGAGATGTATTTAAATTTTAATATAAAAACACGTAGGAGTCCTGTTAATAACGGCTTAATACGGAGGAAAGTTTTACTTACTGCTTTGTTCCGATGGTTTTAAAGCGGCCGGGATGATTAGATCAGGAAGAAGGTAGAGGAGGTTTTTTTTTTCTTAGTCGCAAAGCTGAGCCACCATTCCCAGAGGTCAGCAACCATTTGTTTCCCCTTGTGCACTCCATCCCAACAAAGGATCCAAATTGCTTTGCCAGTTTTCTCTCCTCTTCCTCGCCAATTGTCCTACTTTGAGATTTGCGATTGGGGCTTCCCTAACTGCCTACCTCTATACCCCAGACTATTCCCATTACCTTTACTTTTGTTGGTGGAAAGGAAATGCTTAGTTTTTATTTACCACCCTGGCTCATCCTTCCGTAGGGCCCAACGCTTAGCCTATTATCTAGTCCTTAATCCTTTTCCATCTCCCTCCACTTTTTCTTCAGGGATGTCTACAAACTCCAATCTCAATCATACTAAGAACAAAAGCGAACCTAAACCTTGCTGCTCATTCAAATTATTAAGCCAATTTACATTTCTGTTTTTGCCAAAGGCTCCAAAATGTTTTCACATTTATATTTGTGATTTTATTAGCATTCTTTCCTTGACCTGAGTCAGTTGTCCCTAAATCCAATGATGGAAACCATTAGTCTCACAGTTTCCTTATTAGAAGCTCTTCATCTATTCACCCTAGCATCTTCTTCAAACGTTCTTGTTTGTCTTCACTCATTCAACCGTTCAGCAATATTTGAAGATCTTCCTAGTGGTGAGCACTGTAGACAGACTTGTAGACAAACAGGCCATCAAAGGGATCAAGGAGTGTGCTCTAGATAGGGAGACTAACCAATAGTAATCACCACACCGGACTTTTCCTTAGGTTCAGCCTTAATAAACATTAGTAGCAATGACTTTCCATTACACTGTACTATCCTGGTTCTTCTCTTACCTGGTTGATTGCACCTTATTTTCTGATATTTTTATTCTCTGCATCATCCATTTCCTAAGGTTTAAAGGACAATATTGGGAGACAGTGGGCTTTTTAAGTGCCACCTCTATGTAAGCAGGTAGACTAGCTTTTTCCCAGTGGACTCCTGTCATTATGATCAGATAAAGCCAAATTGCCACATGCCATACAGTATGGAGTTGTTAGAACCATGTCTGAAGAAGAATGTTGGTAAATCAGAGCGTGATTAATACAGTGAGAGGTCTGGAAACCAGGTCATAGGAAAAATGGCTGCCCTTTATTTATTATTTTTTTTTTTAGTTTTTTTTTTCAACTTTTTTTATTTATTTTTGGGACAGAGAGAGACAGAGCATGAACGGGGGAGGGCCAGAGAGAGAGAGAGGGAGACACAGAATCGGAAACAGGCTCCAGGCTTTGAGCCATCAGCCCAGAGCCCGACGCGGGGCTCGAACTCACGGACCGCGAGATCGTGACCTGGCTGAAGTCGGACGCTTAACCGACTGCGCCACCCAGGCGCCCTGGGCTGCCCTTTATTGAGTGCTATGTGTAAGACATTGTGCTAGGGGCTTTTAGTCATTTTATTCAGATATTTATTGAGAACTTACTCTTTGCCCGATGCTACCTGTACAAGGCAGTCAGACTAAAGTGGTGAACAAGATCAATAATGTCTCCATTTTGATAGAGCTTTATATATGTCCTTTATTTCTCACAATGGCCCAGAAAGACATTATACTTCATCTTATTGCTGAGAAACCAAGGCACGAAGAGATGAAGTTAAGTGTCCAAGATCATACAGCTAGTGAATGATAGAGGCTTGCAGCTGTTCAACCCAGGTTCCTCATTTGAACCATGCAATACAAAAGAATTATTTCTCAATTCTCCCAAGGATAGTGTATATCTAACACTTTTCTACATACCTAAAAAGTTAACTCATAATATATGATGGGTGCCTTCCTTAGACTGGGCATTACAAAAATCTATATTTTACGAGTTTTAGACTGGGGAAGAATAATACAATTAAGACTGAAGGTAAGAAGGTTTTCATAAAACTTACAGATGCCTAATAGTGAAAAATAATACCTCACAAAGTAAGATAAATTCAGCCATAAAGTTCAGATAGAGACTAAATTCTATCAAGTATGAAACAGGATTAAATGTCTTCCTAGGATCATCCCCATTTAACCTAGAATACTGTACTTCACTTTTTTTTAATTTTTAATTTATTTTTATTTTTATTTTTTAACGTTTATTTATTTTTGAGAAGAGCGAGATAGAGCATGAGTGGGGGAGGAGAGAGAAAGAGGGAGACACAGAAT